TTCTGAATATTTTTGATCCATGCTGGTTGAATCTATGGATGTCGAACCTGTGTGGATACAGAGATTTGACTATATTTTATTTTCTTAGTGTTTGATTCTAGCTTTATAATATATACATTTAACTTACAGTGGATCTTTAGTATTGTACTAAATCACACACAGTGTGAGATATGTATAATGACATGCTTTCTTTTTATCTTCGTCTGCATTTTCTACTAAACTCCCAGGTGATGCCATTTCTGTGAATCTAGGGTTTATATCCACAGGAGATCTGTTGGATCAACATACCATAATATCCATTATCTAATCAGAAATTAATAGACATGATAAGAAGCATAAAACTTACCTGTAACCAGGAAAAACAAAATCAATGTGCAGAAAAAGATCACAAAATGCCAGAAGACGCAGAATTAGATATTATGAGAGGCAGAATGGATATTATAGTATGTTGTATTATTATGCTATATGGTATAATGCCTACAATATATGTTCATTTTTGTTATAAATAATCTTTTACTTTTTGAGGAAATTAAAAAATAAGAGAAAAATATTTTGTTCGCATACATATTTACCACTTCTTGCACTTTTTATTTAATCTGGTGTTATTTTTCCCTATCATATTTTCCTGCGATATTTCTTGTGAGGTCAGTTGCTGGTTATGAATTCTCTTAGAAATACAATATTTCTTTTTTTATAAGCATCTTACTGGTAGACAAACAAATACAATATATATGAAGTCTTTATTTCATCCTCATCTAAAAAAATTGAGTTATAATTTATATTTTATAACATTTTTATGCGCAGAATTCAGTGGTTTGTAGTACGTTCATAGTATTGCGCCATCATTACTACTACCTGAGTCTGGAACATTTTTATTATCCCCCCAAAGAAATCTTGTGCTCATTTCTCTTTCTCCTTAGCCCTGACACCCACTAAACTACTCTCTAATCACTAATCTATATCCATAGATTTGCTTGTTCTGAATATCTTATATAAATGGAGTCATATACTATGTGGCCTTTTGTGTCTAAATTTTTCCATGTAGCATAAAATTTTCAAGATTAAGCCATGTCATAGCATGTATTGTTACTTTATTCCTTTTTATAACGGTATACTCTTTCATTGTATGAGTATACCACATTTTATCTTTTCTTGATGAAAATTTGGGTTATTTTCCCTTTTTAGCTATTATGAGTAATACTACTATAAATATTCATTTATAAGGTTTTGTGGAGGCATGCACTTTCAGTTTTCTCAGAAATATACTTACAAGTGGGATTGGTGGGTCATAGGGTAACTCTGTGTTTTATCCTTTTGAGGAACTGCTAGACTGTTTCCAAAGCAGCTATACCTTTTGTCTCCTCAGCAGTAGCATATGGACATTCTAATGTCTGTACATCCTGGTCAATACTTATTATTGTCTATCTTTTTGATTATAGCAATTGTGTGAGTGTTCATCTTCATTTCTGAAAAATATTTTTGATGGATATAGAATTGTAGATTTATAGATTTATTTATCTTAATTAATAAGATATCATTTCGTTTTCTTCTGACTTGTGTGGTTTCTGAGGAGATGAATATAAACACTCTTACCCTTGTCTCTCTGGAGGTAGTATGACTTTTGCCAGCTGTTTAAAAGCTTTTATCTTTATCATTTGTATCCAGCAATTTGATTTGGTGCAAATATGTGTGCATACGTGTACACGTGTGTATTTATCTGCTTGTGGTTTATTTGGCTTCTTGGATTTGTGGGTTTGCAGTTTTTATAAATTCTGGAAATATTCAGACATTAGTTTTCTGAACATTTTTCTGTCTTTTCATTCTGAAGCTTTAATTATATCTGTGATGGACAGACAGCTTGATATAATCCCACAGGTGACTTGAAGATCTATTTTATTTATCTGAGTCTTTCTTTGTCCTTTGAAAATGGTTTTATTACTGTGTTCAAATATACTGATCTCATTCTCTCTCATTTACAGTGTATAATGTTTTAATCCCATGCAGTGAATTTTCATTTCAGATAATATACTTTTCATATTCAGAAGTTACATTTAGTTTTCTATGTTTTATTTCCCTTATTATTTTTGTGTATTTCTTTAAATACATAGTTCTAATATTTGTTGTCATGTAGTTCTTTGCTAATTCTGCCTCTTCTGGCATTTTGGGATCTTTTTCTGCAGATCAATTTTGTTTTTCCTGGTTATAGGTTAAGTTTTATTCTTATCACGTCTAGTAATTTTTGATTGGACAATGGATATTATGGTATGTTGATGAGTATCTGGATTTGGGGGGGGTTAGCTTTTTTTTTGAAGAGTGTATTGGGCTTTGTTTTGGCAAAGAGTTCAGTAGGTTAAAGATCTATCTGATATTTTCAAACCCCCCCCCTTTTTTTTGAGACACAGTCTCAAATTGTTGCTCTGGATAGAGTGCTGTGATGTCATAGCTCACAGCGGCCTCAAACTCTTGAGCTCAGGAGATCCTCTTGCCTCAGTTTTTCTATTTTTTGTAGAGATAGGGTCTTGCTTTTGCTCAGGCTGGTCTCAATTCGTGAGCTCAAGCAATCCAGCCACCTTGGCCTCCCAAAGTGTTAGGATTATAGGTGCCTGGCTCAAACCCTATTTTTAAGCTCTTCTAGGCCTGCCTTCATTCCAGGAATGTTTAGCTTTTAAATAAGACGTTACTAATAAGACCCTCTGTAATCTACTCTGAATAATTTGGGAGTCCCTGGGAACTCTTCATGGTTTCTCCTCACAGAGAAATAGTTCCAGTATTTCTCTTCCTTGTCTAAGTTACTTGAAGTGTTCATCTTAAATTACCCTGGGTTGATCTCCCCTTCCCTTCTCTCACTTCCGTCTTCCACTCCCCTTCCCTACTTTCCATGTAGAAATTTTACTTTTCTCATGCTTGTGCTGGTACTCAGAAGATTAAAGGAGACCCCTGTGTAGTTTTCTGTAGTTCTTTTTTTGTATTGCTTCCTTTTTTGGGTGAAAAAAGGTGTTGCAAAACTTCAAACTACCTCAACTTTCCTGAACTACTATTTCTGACTCATAAAGTCAGCAAGGCTAATGAGCTAGCTATTTACGTTTTCCCTGGCTGTGTCCATGATTTAGAAATTACCTTTAGGTATATAAGCCAAGTTATTACTAAACTTGCCTTGTTTGTTTTACTTTTTTTTAGGGGTACAGTTCTGTGTTGCCTAGTGCTCAGTGTCTGAAAACAGTTGTTTTTTGTATTTTACCCAGTATTCTATTTGTTTATAAAGAGGGAGATCATGTCTGTTCCTTGTTAGACTTTCATGGCTGAAATTTTACCTTTTTTTTTTTTTTTAAGCTATAAATACTGATTATACTACTGGGTTTTATGTTCCTAAAGAAAAGATAACTATCTTTCTATCTCTAGCACAGAGAAGGATTGAATATTTGCTAATGATGATCTTTGGTTAGGAAAGTCACTAATATTTTCTTGCAGTAAAAGCTTTTATTTCATATTTTGTACTCCAAATTTATAAAAGTTTCTTATACATACTTGTGATTTACTCTGAAGGATCGCTTATTACAATGAAAAAAACCATCATTGGGAAAGAATTCCATACCATGGTGAGAAACTATCAAAATTTACTTTGCCTAGAATCAACATTCCTCTTCTCACTAATGCATTCAACCATGTATAAGTTGTTCTGATTTCAGTTATTCAGTTTATAGGATTATTTAGTCCTCTTTTCCTGCATTCTTCCTTGTTATTCTTTACTTTTATTTTCTTTATTTCCACTTTCATCTCTATTAGGTAGGGAGCCTGTATGGAAGGAGGGGAGAGAATGAGCATATATATGTGCAAATGAAAATTAGGAATTTGGCTTTTCATTCAGTTTTAATAATATTTGGAGCTTGTCGAAAGTAACATGAAAGTCTAGTTTTGGATTCCCAGAGCTACTAGAAATTGTTTTTTTATTTTTGGTGTTTGCTATCCAGGTGTTTAATTGGCTGTCATTCTTTAACCTGTTACTCATATTTAAAAGACAAGAAATTTGAATAATCTTATTGATTTATTACAGTAGGAACATGTGTATGTTAGGGGAAGGGACAATGAGGAAATAAGGTAACATTCTTTGTTACCAGGAAACATAGGGGTTTGTACTAATTAGCCTTGAAAAATGTGGAGCTATGTGACAGACCAGATGTTTTCAGCATGAGCCATGCATCTCATCAGAGATGCCTTATGTCTGCAGGCAATGTTGGTGGATTTTTCTCATTTTATAAACAATGTTCCAAAACATAACTAAACCCCAAAGTGTGTTTATCTTTTTAGCTTAATTTTTGGCTTTCTATCCATTCTAAAGTTTCTCTCTAGAGGAACTGCATGTTATTGCACATAGTTCTTCATACCTAATTGTAGTATAAACACCATTCTGTTTATATTAAACCATGTGAATTGTATTGTTCTTGAGCCTATAAAATTTTAATAAAAACAACTATTTCAGATTTAACTATATTTGTACTTTTATTTCTAAATTTAGAAGGAATAGAATTTTCTTCCCTCCATTTATTTGGACTAAGATTTTATTTTTGGAACATATGAAGGAAAACAGGCAAAGAAATAGAACAAGTAAAACCAGTCTCTAGTCTTTAATGTCTGTAGTACTGAGTTCATTGGAACGAGAAAAACTTGAGTTTCTGCTGTGAAAATCACTCTTAAAGTCCAAAGAATTATAGCTGTAATTCTTTTTTATTTATTGAGATGGAACTGAATTTTTTCTATACTCTGAGTATATCATGGGAAATATGGAAATTAAAAGTATAAAGAAGAAAATTTATCACTCATAATGTTACTGTTCAAGGGAAGGAACTCATGGTTAACATTTTTGTATATCTCTCTCTGAACTTTTTTTTGTGTGTATTCTGTATATACATATGTCACATCCATATATATTCATAATTTATACATGTATACATATTTATAATTTTAAAAATGATTATGATTATACTTGTAAGATCAGTTTTTTTAATTGGAGCACTGTTCCCGGAGGTACTGTAATGCCAGATTGATGTGTACAGTGGATGAGATAGGCTCCCGTTTCATCTCCCTGCTGCAAAAATGTGTTTCATGTGTTGTCCTCTGATAGACAATGTATCAGAAATTAAACTTATGAGAATAGATGTGATACTTAATCTTAGCCAGAAGGGTGAGAAGTGATAAGATCTAGTTTGTGAAATAATTTTTTTATTAGTATTTTACTACCATGATATATCATAATGTAGAAATTTAATCAATTCCTTGTTATTAGACATCTAGGTTAGCTTTTTTTTTGCTAATATAAATAGCTTTACAATTTAAGAGGCTTATACATACTTTTGTGCATCTCATTTCTGTTTTAGAAATGTATTTGTTTAGAATAGTTGTTTTACTAAAATCTTCATTGTGAACTTGTGTCATTAATAAAATTTGTTTGCCAGCAGGGTATGAATTCCCATTTATTGAAACTCCTGACATAATACACATGATCATTTAAGAAATCTTTGTCAGTTCAAGTGACAAAATTATATTTTTGATTTGTGTTACTTCACATATAAGTTCAACTTCTTACTTTATATGTTGGCCCTCTTTTTATTCTTTTTGTGACTTTTCTTTGTTCATTGACTTTTTTTAAAAAAAAAACCTCAAGTTTATTAATCCTTTATATACATTACAAATAATGTTTTTTAGTTTTTTGTTTCCTCTTTATTCTTCTTATATTCTTCTTATTAATAACTTATTTTGTTTTTACCTTACCAACTTTATCAATCTTAGTTTTATTTGTCCTCTTATGCTTAAACATGTAGAAGCTTTACTACCTAGCAGATAATATCCTTTTTATTATTAAGAAATGTCCCTCTGTGTTATTAGTAATATTTGTTGTCTTAAAGTCTCTTGTATCTCATGTTAATGTAACCATTTGAGATTGCTGTGAGGTATGATGCCATGGCACTCTACTGAGGTCAATAAACTGAGACTTTGTCTCAAGGAGAGAGGGTTAGGCAGTTTCCAAGTCTGTCTGTTCCAGACCATCAAAGGTCTTCTATATGTCTGCCTACAAACCTAGTAAGCTAAGAATATGGGTAGTGCTTAGGTCCTTTTAGGTGTCCTTTGAACGTGTGTGTAGTCCTTTAATCAGCTAGAGACTTGCAGAGAGCTTATCAAGCCATTCTATAGGTCTCTTATTTCTACAACCTTCCTATAAAATTTCTGATTGGTTTCCAGTTTGTTGTTTATGCCAACCTAGATTGCAACTTTAGGTCAGTAGAACTGGAGGTTTCATTTATTTATTTTTTACTGAGTTTGTTACTTTTACTAACAATTCCACTTGATAAGGATTTTTCACCCTCTGCACCAAATCATATTAGCCCTAATATGAGAGAAGCTGCTGGTTTTCATGACTAGCCAGGGCCAATGACCCAGGGCAGAGAAATTGAAGGGGCAGGGTGATGGAAGTAGAATACTACAGAGTCCCATTGTGAGTCATTTTCATGAATTAACAGTTCTTGATTTGTGGTTGTTCTTTAGTTTCCAGAGCCCTGAAAATGGCTGTTTTGGATAGTTTAGTCTATTTTACATTTGTTTTGGGGATAGATTTTCCAAGTTCTTCCCTCTGCCACAGTTGGAAGTTTAGCCTTGGCTACTACTACTATTTTTTAGAGGGGGGGGGCTACTTCATTTTATAAGATGATTTTTTTGGCATTTAGGTGATCATTTTAAAATTTTCTTTATTTTTTATGTTTCATTGGTATTCTGAGTTTTATGCATTCTTTGGATAAAATCTTTTTTGAGCTGGGCATCAGGGCTTACACCTGCAATCCCAGCACTTTGGAAGCCTTAGGTAGGGGGATTAATTGAGGCCAGGAGTTCTAGACCAGCCTGAGCACAGTGAGACCTTGTCTCTAAAAATAAAAAACAATTAGTTGAGCTTGATGGTGCGAACCTGTAGTCCTAGCTACATAGGAGGCTGAGGTAGGAGGATTGTGTGAGTCCAGGAGTTTAAGGTTACAGTAAACTATGGTGATGCACTCTAGCTTTTGGTGACAGAGTGAGATCTTGTCGCAAAAAAAATTATTTTTCGTTATAATTTACTAGTCTTTGAAAGCATATTGCTTTAATAATTTGATTTTTTAATAGATATTTTTATTAAAAATTAATACTGGATTTGTCTTAAGGTACAGGGAAACCCAAATCAGGGTAGCCATATTGTCTGAGGAATCTATCTGTAACCCTAAAGAAGACCAAGTTGAGCTAAAGGTGATTAATTCCTTTTGTAGGCATTATCCTGCCCTGAAAACTCTGGAACATCTAGAGCATACCTATCTGCCACAAGTAAGCCACTATCGATTCTGCAAGGTGATGGTGGATAACATCCCGAAACTTCGAGAGGAAATAAAGGATGTCTCTATGTCTGATCTCAAAGATTTTCTGGAGAGCATCCGCAAGCATTCAGACAAAATTGGAGAGACTGCCATGAAGCAAGTAGGTCTTGGATTTATGATAGGTTTTCCAATGGCTTTGCAAGTATTCAGTTAAACACAGGGTTCTCTGTGCCAAGGGTCTTAATTGTTTCCTATCATTTTAGGGAAAGCCTTCATCTTTATGGAAACATAGGATTAAAACTGTTTTTTATTTTTTTAACAGAGCAGTTGACTTTTGTTTTGCTCTATGGATGTTCAGTAAATACTGAGTATGATGGTTTATTTTGGAGACTTGAAGAAATTTTTCTGTTATTTGAATATTTCCCTCGATTTTGGATAAAATTTGAAGCTCAAGATGTTTTAAAGTTCTGCTTCAGTTAATGACCTAAATTATGTTGCAAGTGCCTTTGGCTGATTGTTTACTATGTAAAGCAAGATGTCATGTTATGTATGAATATTTATAATTTTTAACAGGTGTCATGAAAAAGGCTAATTGGGCAATGATATGAATTATGATCACAGAAAGGGCTTTCTTCACAGCTTATAAATTAACAAATGTGTTATAAGTATTTAGATTTAAAAAAATATCTTTATCTTTCAGTCACCAAAGCCTTGAGGAACATCTGAATTTCTTTTGTCTTTTGTGAATGAAAGAGCAGTAATGATTTGCAATATTTGTTCTTTTGAAGTTCATCACATTGATTTTATTAAAATTTCTCAATATACTTGATGATGTAGCCTACAGCAATAAATTGAAAATATTCAGTTGTTTATGGAGAGAGTATTTTATTTTATAAACAACAGCATGTTTGAATAGGTCATTTGTAGTTTTTATCATTCTATTGGAAATGAGGGAATAGATTAGATTTTGAATCATATTTTAGGTCTCAGCTATCCTTGATAATATATTGAAGGGTAGATCTGTGATGTCTCCTTGATGTAGTAAAAGAGAGTTGCCACTTACCCTTTTCTAGATGAATATAGATATTTACCCACTCCTTCTTCTTTTTAATTTGGTCATTGTTATACTTTATAAAATGCAGAGTTTAAAACTAGTTGAGATTTCTGTAGTGCTGCCATTGCTACCTGAGTAACACTTACCAGCTACCACAGTAGGACCTGGACAGAGTGAGAGCTCCAGCCACTGCAACTCCCCAGAAGGGCTCCATGTATCATCCTGGCCTCACCAGTTGTGGGTGGTCCAGCCCCTGTGGCCCAGGGAGCCAGCCTGCTGCTGGTTGCAGTCCCACAACCCACTCAGGCATAAGCCAAGACCCCTGACTGGCTCAGGCACCTGCCAAGGTTCTGTGTCCTGCTCAGGCATCAGCCAAGGTCTTGTCACCCACACAGGTACCTTCCAAGTTCCCATAACCCATCCTGCCCCTGGCTGTAGTCCCATGACATGCTCAGCATCAATCAAGATTCTAGGACCTGACTCACTGCTTGCTGTCATCCTGTGTTGTGCTCAGGTACCTTTAAGGTCCTGCAAACTGCACAGGTGCTAGCCACAACCCATGTGCCTGCCAACATCCTATACCACACGCAGGCTCCTGCCAAAATCCCAAGAGTGACCCAGATACTAGCCAAAATGCTGTGACATGCTTAGGCACTGCTCAGGGTCCAATGGCATGCCCTATTGCTGTCTGCAGTCCCACAACCTGGTCAGCCAAGTCATATTACCCATTTTTGTGGAGAAGAGACTTGCCCAATACTCTGCCAAAATTTTTAATAGCAGCCTGGGGAGCAACCCACCAATCTGAACGGATATCCCCCAACACTGGCTTGGACTGTGACAATTACAGGGAGATAGGATGATGTAGGAGAACAATTGTGTTATAGGTTCTCCTGCATCTTCTTTTCCTGGGTCAGTCCTCTGGAGTAGAACACAAAAGTGCTATCCAGGTATTTCTCCTCCTTTTTACTAAGTAGGAGAGTTTCCAGCAAAGGTGAACAGGTGCTCACAAACCTATCAGTCCTAAGCTAAGAGAAGAGAGCATAGGACTCTTCAAATGAGAAGAAACTGGGAAAGGAATTCTGGCAACATTAAAAAATAAACTAGTTTGACACCCCAAAAGGATCACAATAGATCCATAGCAATGGACCCCAACCAAAAGAAACTGTTGAACATCAGAAATGGAATTCAGAATATGGATGTCAAACAAGATGAATGGGATTGTAAAGAAAGTTGAAAAACAAGACAATGAAACAACAACAGAAATCTCAGCACATTCATGAAAAGTTTGAAAAACTCACTAAAGAGATAGATAACATTAGAAAGTATATATCATAACTTAAAGAAATGAAAGAGTCATTTAGGGCTGTGGTTCTCAACCTTCCTAATGCCGCAAGCCTTTAATACAGTTCCTGTGGGTCGTGACCCACAGGTTGAGAACCGCTGATTTAGGAAATTATAAATTACAATAGGCTAGGCCAAGCAGAAGAATCTCAGAGGTTGAAGATAAAGGTTTTAAACTAACCCAGTCAGTTGAAGGCACAGGAAAAAAAAAAAGAAGAATGAGCAATCACACAGAGAAATATGGTACCATATGAAGTCAGCCAATATATAAATTATAGGTATCACAGAGGGAGGAAAAGAAAATGCAGGGAAAACCTATTTGAGGGAATTTTTGCAGAGAATTTAGCTGGTATTGCCAGAGATTCAGATATCCAGATACAAAATGGTCATCAAGGCTTGGCACCTGTGGCTCAAGTGGCTAAGGCACCAGCCACATACACTTAAGGTGGCGAGTTTGAATCCAGCCCGGGCCTGCCAAACAACAATGATAGCTGCAACCAAAAAATAACTGGACGTTGTGGCAGGCGCCTGTAGTCCCAGCTACTTGGGAGGCTGAGGCAGGAGACTCACTTGAGCCCAGGAGTTGGAGGTTGCTGTGAGCTGTGATGCCACGGCACTCTACCCAGGGGGATAGATTGAGGCTCTGTCTCAAAAGAAAAAAAAAATGGTCATCAAATGCTGGAAAGATTCAGGCAAAAAGAACATATCTAAGACACTTAATCAGCACCCTGGCCAATGTCAAAATGAAGAAGATAATTTGACAAACTGCCAAGACAAAAGCAACAACTAACCTACAAAGGAAAACCCAGCAGGCAAATAGCAGACTTCTCAGCACAGACCTTACATGACAGAAGGGATTGGAGCCCTATTTTTAGTTTTCTTAAACAGAGTGACTGCCAGCCAAGAATTTTGTATACTGCAGAAATAAGTTTCATAAATGATGAAGAAATGAAGACTTTTCCAGATAAGCAAACACTAAGGGAGTTTGAGACTACTAGACTTGCACTATAGGAAATGCTCAAAAGTGTATTATATATGGAACAGCATGGTAGATATAAACCACTGTAAATATACCCCCAAATTAAAACCTCACAATTCTTATAAAACAATAGCACAAGAAGGAAAACAAAACAGTTAAGCTATCACCCAACATGATGAACAGAACAGCATCCCACATGTCAGTACTAACACTCAACATGAACTGTCTGAATGCCCCACTTTGAATGCCCCACTTAACAGGCATAGACTAGTTGAATGGATGAAAAAAATACAATCCAAATATCTGCTATCTCCAGGAAACACATCTAATGCACAAGGACATCCAGATTTAAGGTAAAGGGATGGAAAAAAATATTCCATGGAAATAGATACTAAAAAATTAACAGACATAGCCATTCTCATATCAGACAAAATACACTTTAATTAACAATGGTAAAAAAAGATAAAGATGATTATTATTTAATGGTAAAAGGAGTAATTCAACGAGAAGACATAAAAGTCCTAAATATATATACGTAACACAGGAGCACACAGATTCTAAGCATAGAAATAAAGAGTAGCATCTTAATAGCTGGGGACTTCAACCCCCCTCTGACAGAACTGGACAGATCATTGAAGTAGAAAGTGAATAAAGAAATAGTGGAGTTAAATGAGACTATAGAACATATGTACCTAACAGACATTTAGAGAACATTCTACCCCCAAACTACTAAATATATGATCATATTAGCACATGGGACATTTTCCAAGATAGAGCAAATTTTAGGCCACAAAACAAGTTTCAGAAAATTAAAAAAAATTAAAGTCATACCATGTATCTTCTCAGACCACAGTGGAGTAAAACTAGAAATTAATTCAACACAAAGTCATGGAAATTAAACAATCTGCTGCTGAATGATCCCTGGTCAATGATGAAATTCAGATGGAATATGAAAGATTCCTTGATCTAAACTACAAAAGGGACATGAGCTTTCAAAAATCTATAGGATATGGAAAAAGCAGTCCTAGGGGGAAAATTCATTGCCTTAAATGCCTTGAAAGAAAGATCACAAACTAACAACCCAATTAAACATCTCAAGGAGCTAGAAGAAGAAGATGAAACCGAACCTAAAGTCATCAGAAGAAAATAAATAAATAGGGCTCTGAGTGGAACTAAATGAAATAGAAACCAAAAAAGCAATGAAAGGATCAGTAAAATAAAAAGTTGGTTCTTTGGCAAGAAAACAAAATCTATAGCAACCAGCTAGATTAACCAGAAATAGAAGAGCAAGGACTCAAATAAACTCTATTAGAAATGAAAAAAACAGATGTTACAACTGATATCATTAAAATGCAAAATATTATTCATGAACACTACAAAAACTTCTATGCAAACAAACTAGAAAACCTAGAAGAAATGGATAAATTTCTGGAAACATACAAACTCCCAAACTTGATTTAGGAAGAAATCCTGAACATACCGATAATAAGCAGCAATGTGGAGGCACTAATAAATTTCTTAACCAAAGAAAAAGCCCTGCCTCAGACAGATTCACAGATGAATTCTGTCAGACCTACAAAGAAGAACTGGTATATATTCTACAGAAATTATTCCATAACATCAAGAAGGAGAGCTAACACCTTCTCTGAAGCCAGTATGATCTTGATACCAAAGCCAGAAAGGAAACAACCACAGACCAGTATCCCTGATGAATGTAGATCCAGATTCAGAAACCTTCAACAAAACACTGGGAAACCAAATTCAAAAATATCAAAAGGATAATTCA